TTCTCCATGCTGAACAACCGCAGCTCCTTTGGCTTTTCCTCACAGGGCATGTGCTCCAGGCTCTTCACCAGCTTGTCCATGAGTTAGAAGCTTCTCCAAGAGAGTGGTGATGTTTGCAGTAGCCAAAGTGAGGTGAAATCCCCCTGCAGAAGGGGGCCAGGGCCGCCTGCCAGCACGGCCCCACAAAGGGCTGGAGGGGAGCAGGTATGTGGCTGGATCCTCCGTCTGTGGGGGATGACAAAGCCGCCCTGCTCTGACAAAGACGAGTGGGTTATGGAAGGGACTGCCACATGAAGGGATGAAACTGTCCCAGATGCCAGCCCAGCAGTGTGGTAGTGCTCAAAGAGGACATGTCAATATTCACACATTGTGGCCTTCCAAACAGAATTTAAATGGTGAATTCCAGACATAACTGCCATCTCACTCACTCTCCTTGGCAAAGAGGAGGAACAGCTGTGGGAAAAGCCCAGTGTAATAATGTCCAGTGTTCACAAGACCTGAACTGTTTGCTTTAACTATGGACATTAAAACTGTCAAAATTTTCCACTGTCTGGCATTTGAAAAACATTTTTTTCCTGTATGTGCTTTTATGCTGTGCTGTAACTGGTATAGCTGTGCCTCTGTAATTGCCCATGGAGCAGGGCTCGTGAAGTGTCACCATGAAGCAGAAAGGAGTGAGGACTGTAAAAACACATCAAGGGTTCCTCTGATGGCAGAATTTTTCAGATAATTCACAAGACCATTCTGAAATCATCACTCTCTAGTTCAGACTAGTGCATTGCCTTCCAAAGTTTGTGGTTTCTAGAACATGAGACACAGGTTTTGTGCCGTTTCTAACACTTTTTCACAAGCTATGTACAAAATACGCATTCTTAAACTTTTAACAATTTATACTGTGATCTTATTGACAGTTCACTGGCCACAGTAAAACTTTTGCTTATGATATACAGGTAAGTTAATGTACTTCATTAAGAGTGAGGAAATAGTGCAATGAAACCACTTTAAATCGGCATCTTGAATTCTGCTGCTCTTGCCCAACTCAAATCTCAAATCATGTCATACTCTCATCATTATGAGGTGGAAAAATATTATTTTAAAAACGAAAGGCATCCTCTGTTTCTTTTATTTGTCATTTGGTTTAGAACCTTCATGGTACCTTTCATTCTCATATTTAGACTTTTTATCATGATTGTAAAGACTGAGTTTCATTTAGTAAGGCTTCTGTGTCTTAGATGATTCCAAGGACAAGATGTAACTTAATATCAGAAGACTCGTGATAAAACCACGGGTGTCTCCAATCTTTAAGGAAGGAGGGAGCTGAAAGCACCTTTTAAGGGGTTCTAAGAAATCACAGCAGTGTAAGCTTCTTTAAGCACTTGATGTGGACTGATGCCCACTGACATCTGTTCAGAGGTTCTCCCTTTCTTCACAGAATGCAAACTTCAAGCATCTGTAACTCTCTTAATTTCTGTTGCATTTTGCCTTTTAAATATGTATGCTCCATTCTGAGAATTACGTGTTGTGTTTCACAGTTAACCCTTCTGATGCATGCAGAGGGACATTGTGGCAATGTTTTCTTCAGGTTTTTTCCATGAAGCTGTTTTTGAAGACTGCAGCTTAATTCAAGACAACGGGATTGCTTTTTATTAAACTTCTGAAATAAGGAAATAATGCTCTCAGGGAAAATACTCAACCTTTGAGCTTTCCAGCGCTAAAGATTAGTGTACTAAAATCAGTCTGTGAAATGAACTGTTATCTTCTCAGCCTTAGAACTGACCACGTAGATGTCTGCAGTGTGACTGGCTGCCAGCAGTCATAATGTAATACCCTTTCCTGAAGGTGTAGATGATACAGAGTGTTAGTGGGTTTCCATACTATATTATTAGTGGAAGCAGAAATTCTGCCTGATGTAACAAGATAGTAGGCTAGGGATGTGTTTTCACCAGTAAAAAAGAGGTATCTTGAATGGAGAGGATTTCTAGTATCTGTTTGGGCCCGTTTGGGCATTACTAGGGGTGAATCTGGAGCAACAACGTGGTAAGAACTGACTCATAAGTTCAGTAGAAGGTGCAGGAAAGGGTGTTGTTCAAGATGCCCAGTATTTACTTTTTTAAATGCTCTGTGACAGGACAGGCTAATAGCGAAATTTTTGTTTTCTCTGCTAAATGTGGCATCTGCAACATATATGGGAAATCCTACACATGACTTCTTGTGTTGGGCAGAGTGTTTTGAGGGACTTCCAGAGGCAACACTGAAGACAAAGGCAGGACTTTTCAGCTTTGTGGGTTTGAACTGTTGGAGTAAACTAAAATGACTCGGGGTGCAATTTCAGTTCTCTATATTTTACATACATTAGCATTCATTAGACTATTTGCCTTGTGGTTTGCCTAGAAGGCTCATAATTTATAGTCTTTCAGTTATTTGCTGTGGTTACATCTGGAATACCTTTTCCTTTTCACTAGCACAGGCCATTACACACTGGAACTACAGTAGTAGTTTTAGAATCAGATTTTAATAGCCCAGCTTCATTGCTTCTTTTTACATCTGACTTTAAGTATGTGTCAAGTGTTATATTAGAACAGATTAGGGGTTTAGTACTGTTTCTGACAATGATGAATGCTAGATGTTTTGCAGACACAAAAAACTACCCAGGATGAGTTAGTAATCCTAAAACATGGAATTTCAGAGCTCTGAAGACACTTAATCCAAACTGCTAGTGTGAAAGATGTTTTTCTTATGCTGTTAGGATATGTCTCTAAGGCTTTTAAAAAATTATGTCAGTCTTTTTGCCTTCATCCTATTCCCAGATTTTTTTTCTTTTTGTTACTTAGGAAGTGTGCTGAACAAAACTAACTGTTGCAAGATATCCAAATAACATGATATTCTGCCTTTTCTGCTGTCCTGAATTGTACTCACAGCAGAGCAAAAGGCAGGAGAATTATTTTAAAATAATTCCTCCAGGAGGTAGCATCCATCTAAAAATCCACTTGTGGCTGAGTTGACTTCAACAGTTCTTTGGACTAAATTTCTTCATACTTCACTTTTTTATTATGCTGCTCAGTTACTTTTGTACTAAATCCTCTAGATTTAGATCTCCTATACTCTTCTTGTGTCCTAATAAATGCATAAATCACCTCTGTTTTGACAACTAAAAGTCTCATTGTTTCTGAAATGTGTAAAGGTGGGATAGAAAATGAGTATCCTTTCCTAATGGAAAATAAGGTCGCTGACTCATGTCGTTTTAGTTATATCCTTTTGCTAGCCTTGGAGCCCTTTGTACTCTGAATACTTGCACAGAAAATAGTGCACTGCTGGGGCACGGTGTCCTGACTGATCTCCTGAAGATCTCACACATGAATAAAGTCATAGCCATGATTCTTTGCTCGTGTCTCTTTTTTGTAAGGGAAAGTTCAGTGGATAAGGACTAGCTGGAAGCAAGGTTCTGTTTGAGCTATGTATTCAGGGTATGATCCTGCCAGTCTCCTGAACTCTGGTGATTTGCTTGAAGGGAAAGGGAAATATATCTGATTCTTTGATGGGACAGCTTAGAAGAATGCAATGAAAAAATTCTCAGTGAAAAACACAATGGTATTTTGCTCCTGCTTCAGGTTCTCTATAGGAAGTAACTGAATAATCCCTCATTTAATTAACTGTTAAAACGCTAATGAATATCTGTGTGCCGTTTCTGCTTCTCTAATCCCCACTTAGCTGCAGCTTCTTAAGATATGCATTGAACCAATATGAGCTGTTCCTGAAAAAGCTGTTCCAATATTATGTTCCTGAAATCTGTGCAGTAGCATCATAAATCTGTCAGCCCACAGAAAATAACAATTTAAGTGTAATTCTTTGCATTCTACTATGAGATAGTTTTCCACAAAAGTTTCCTTTGCTGCTTCCTTATTTTCAAAAATCTTTGCAAAAATTATTCAAGATATTTAAATATATTGTATTTGTTTAGTTGATTTTTGTTCACACTTCTCAGGAATCTAAAACAGCTCTGTGACCACAACATATCAGCAGAGCTGTTCTTTCTTTATCTCTTGGTCTTAGAATTTTTTTATAACCCCCAAATTAATGCTCAATATTAATCCCTTATTAATCACTTTCAGCCATCTAGGCCTGGCACCTAATAACACATTACATATTTTTGGTAGCTTTCCTGCTTCATCCTAAAGGTTCTTCAAATGTTTGGAGGGACTACTAAATCCCATTCTTCCTCTACCAGACTTCCCTTCAGTTTAAATACAGTTTCTGTGGCCTTTCCAGTTCTCTGAAACATTCTTGTCTTAGACAATGAGTAGAAAAGGAGAGAAGAGTCTGAAAGACAAGCCACAATAGTCTGACATAGAAATGTGTGTTTGGAGAGACCACAGTCAGCCTTAGAGCATGGAGGCTTTGGGAACGTGCTGTGCACAGAGAGACTCCATAGATCATAATAATCATGTTTGTCGCTGTGTGTGATGGCAGTGCTGTCTTTATTGGCATTTGACACCCTGCAGAGTAGCAGAGGATCCTTTGAATGTGGAAGTTTGGTGTTAGGGAGGCCCTGCAAAGAGCCTTATTGGGGCAGTAACTCTGATCCCCAGCTGTTGTTGGCAACTGTGTCATGGCTCCTTTCATTAACAGAAGCAGCCTCTTTTCTGATTCTCTCCTTAGCTATTCCTGAAGCCCCCACTGTGGACATTAAAAATCATCTTGTCATACCCACTCTAAGTTTATTCCCAGTCAGACTGTAATGCTCATTTATTAATCCATTTAGCCTTTAATGAATCTAGTCTTTCCAAACCAGTGTTTATCCCACTAATGTGTTTCTCTAGAATAGTTGTTTTTAAAGCCTCTGGCTCAAGCTCTTCTAGTGTTCTCAAGTAGTCTGCACATGTCCTGGGCTACTCTAATTGCTCTTCTCTTTACTGTTTGGATTTATTATGGTTCTCTGGGAAAGGCTGGACAATTTGTATTAAAGTTCTTTTTATTTGTTACTCCATTTTTAAAATAATGTGTCAGTTAAAGAAATAAAAAAGCATTGAAACCATAGTTCTTGTGTCTCTTTCAGTACTGGTATCTGTGAGGATTTTTTTCCTCTCTTCTTTTATGGAATCATGTAAATGTTTTTGTGCTCTGTCTTAGAGAAGGAATATTGCAGCTCCATCAGTGCTGTCTGGTGCTGAGGAACTTCACAGCGAGGGTTCCGTTCAGGCAGTGTTATCTCCCTTGGCCCATCCTCTGGTTTCCATGCAGGCAGACATGTTTCTTGATGCCAAAGTCTGTGCAACAAAATTCCACTTTCCTCATGCTTTGCATCCAGTGGCAAGCTTGGATTACTTAGGCTAAGTGGGTTTTCCCATATTGTATGTTGATACAAATATCTGGGCTTGAAGTCTTCATAGGAAAGTGAACATGCAGATTTTAGATGGGATTCAAATTTCGGCCTTCCTGAAAGCTGCCACCTCTACAGTGCTTCTTTTTGCAACATGTCAGTGATTTTCAGAAGGTTGTTTATTGTTGGGCTTGAATCAAGGTAAGGAACTTTCTGGTAGCATGTCTGAGACAGAGAGTCTTGCTCTTGGCTCACATCCCATTTCTGGTCTGTGCTTTCTGTCACTTTGCACTGCTGACCTAGGCTGGTTGCTCTTTTTATTTCATTCAGCATTGCACCTTAGTATCTGGTGACAGCAGTGGGAATGCTGAGTACAGGTGAATGCACCCGAAGGAGTACTGTTCTTGCAGAATTGATTCATGAGGATGTGCACCTTGACGTAAGCATGCAGTGCACCCTTCGGGAGGTCTCACTTGTGACAGACCCGCAGAAATGTTTCTCTATGAAGAAAGTAGCAGGATTTATACTGCCATCTATGTCTCTTAGCAGGGACTGCTTATTTTAGCAGATCATTGACCGTGACTAGTGAAAAGGCACAGTTAGAGGTCACTCAGTCAAAGAGAAGCAGCCCAGACCTTCCCTATTGCCCCTGTTATGAAGGGAGCTGAGAGTCACTCTTGATGCTTTGGAAAATAAAATATTCTGTTCCACTCTGGTGCATAAGATATAAATGGGTATAGATGTTTTGTGCTTTCTTCTTTCTTCTATAAGCATCTGTCTTCTCATATGAGTGATAGTATAAGCAGTGACTTGAATTAGCGTGTTTTTAACTTCTTTTAGGAAGAGTTGCAGGTGGTTTTTAGGATGCTCACTTGCATGTAACTTTTTAGCTTTCTCAATTACAGTTTGATCCACTGCTCACATACTGTTAACCTGTATGAATCTTTTGCATTGCTGAGGCTTCAGATGCTGGTGCAGAGCCAAAGGAACTGTTCAAATGTAAAGTACATTTGAGTCCTATAGCCAAAGAATGAACTTCAGCAGTTACTGTGCTGAACAATCTTGGTGTTTGATATTCAACATATGTATACTTTAAGTGGATGAGTGTTGTTCAGGTAAATCAGCATGGCCCAGAGTAGCCAATCACACTTTGGAAGCCAGAGGGCAATAAAACTGCTCAGTTTTGAATTATGTCAGGTAATGGTCTGGATTTTCATTTCCAGAGACAAACAGTTGTTGAAAGTGTTCTTTTTAGTGTCCATTATCATAAAGCAAAACTTTTTTTTTCTTTATCACACTGAAAAAATTGTTAGACAGCTTTTCCATTTCAGATACAGGGCTTCAATGATCAGAAATTTATAAATGCATCAGAATATGTAAAATGTAAATCATAAGGGATTTCCTTTCTTGGATTTGTTTTAATCCAATAGAAGAAAAGCAGGACAATTTGGACACTTCTTATCCAGGGCCATTTTGGACTATAACTAAGAAAGTGAAAGCATCTTACTTAGTTGCCCTGCTTATGTAAGTCCGTGCAGTTTGAATCTGGAAGTGCTATAAAGCCAGCAGAGAAGGAATGTGTTCCTTCTGTTTTACCTGCAGAATTGCTTAGTCAGTTACAATTGCTTAGAGTTGCAATCAGTCACAGCTATGAATATAAAACCATCACAAGTAATGATGCATTAGCAAAACACAACTCTCAACTTGATTGCTCTGCTTATATACCATATTATGCACTGCTTGCATGAGTAGCATTTAATGCAGATAATGTCTTTTCACTTTTATACAGGTCACAGAGAATATAAAAAGTGTTGAAGACAACAAACACAGAGTTTTTCAATGTAGTTTTATACGTCCTTCAGAGTGAATCTTGGCATTAAAATAGAATCTGCTAATGCAATTGATGCACCTTGGAGGAAGAAAGTCAAATCACTCATGCAAATGGAGGAGTATAAATCTTAAATTGCTGTGGTTAGTAAGGAAGCAGTAGTCTGCAATGGTAATAAGTCACTTATCAAACACATAGTGCAATAAGGACAGTAAATTGGTGAGTTCAGTCAGGCTGTCCTGATTAATAGCAGCTGAACACGTAGCCAGTACATTTCAGTCTCTGCAGTGCTGCCCCATTCATATGAAAGCTGCCAACTCATTTTATGGACACTGTTACACATACTGCTCAAGACAAAAGGTCTTTTGAATTGCTGTTGTGTGTTGGTGCCAACTTAAAAGAGTAAGATAAGAACTAAGCAGATAATCAGAGTAACTTCCCCTCCTGCAAACCCTGAAGAAGCCATTAATCCATTACAGAAGTTCTGTCAACCAGCTGTGTCAGGACTGATTTAGTATTCTGAACTTTTGCCTCTGCTTTAGAGTGAGCTTTGCCCTGTGTTTAAGTATTGTCAAAGAGAAGGCTTAATTCTGCCAGCTGAATCTGATAATACTCTTGCCAGTATTACTTGTGGTGGAAGTGTGAGGTTCTTAGTAAAGGCAGTATTTATTATTTCTGTGTATTCACCTAGTTCTCCAGTCAATCTGCAAATGGCTTTTATGTAATAGTTACCCAGGACAAGGTGATATATTTGAGCTGTTCCTAAACAGAGACATGTTTTATTGTTATATATTTTTATAGGTTAGGAAAATCAGACCTAATCCACAATCCCTCTGAAAAACCTCAGATAATTTACAGTTTATGTGTCCCTTGTTACTAAATGACCAAAAATTCAGTATATTTGAGAAATTTAGGGGCTAACAACTTGTGGTCTCACATTGCTCTCCCAACTAAATTAATTTAATAAAAATTGCATACCTGTGAAGACATGACTGCATGTTGTGATCTCCAGAGCCCTTTCAGTGTTTTGTAGCATATTGGTTATTCTTGGAGAAAAGTTATATTTGACCTCTTTTAAAAGGGGCTGGGGGCCACTATCTTTGGTGGATTTGGATAATACATTTCACCATTTTCTTCTACAAACTTGGAAAGCTGAAGGATAAGAAGAAGTAGGTAAGGTATAAACAAAATATGTGTGCTGTATGGAAAAGACTATTTTAAAGATTTGAAATAACATGGTCACCCTCCTCTCCCTCAGTTATCTGTTTAGCAAATGCTAATAAAAGCAAAATCTGGTGGAAAAATGTATTTACTGCAGTATTAGTACTCAAGTGGAAGTCAACAGGTATGCAGTTATGCTGAACTCAGGTCAAGTAACTTCGAATCAGGTTCTCCGTGGTAGTCACATATGGTAGGCTATGTAAGCTTTCCTTTGTAGTCATGATTATAAACTGCCTTAAAATGAACTGCCTCTTATGGTTTCCATTGCTACATCTGTAAATTGTGTGTCTACATGGATCAGAATGACAGATGGATCTGCATTTTTAGCTGTAGATGAACGCTCACTATAAAGACAGCTGTGCTCATTGGGAGAGGTGCTTTCTGTGAACTGTTGCTAATGTCTCTTTTGCCTTTGGAAACTGACTTGATGGATGTGCAAACAGAACTCATCTTCACTCTTTTGGTACAAAATCAACAGGATTAGACCAGATCAGCTATTTAATCAGCATCAGTTAACTCAGTGATGTGTGATGAAATCTTAATGGAAGTACTCTACGTGATCATCTGCACACTAGATCTGGAAATCTAATTGTCTCAGGTAAAGAGGTGCTGACAAGCAACTGAGAGCTGGATCTTATACCAGAAAAAAGCTACCTTTTCAGAAAGCCATCTTCCCACTGCCAATTGCAGGAGCTCTGGGTTGATTCACACACCAGCAGGGAAGATTCTTATTGCATTTTCTGTGCACGATTTTTACAAACGGGAACAGCAGATACTAAACCTTAATGAACTGTGAAGCTCGTTCTGAACTCCTAATGTTACCAGCAGGAATACCTGAGTGTTTCTAGATGTCTTGTAAAAATGAAACTGCCATAGAATTAGTTTCCAACCCTGTTTCTGCCACCACTTTTTCTCTCTCCAGTCTTTCTGCCTCTTGTTTCCTTATTTACCTCACAATGATGCTGCCAGCATTAATTAGTAATAGATACTATGCTTTTTGTCACAACCTTCTGTTGGTAAAATTCACCTGACTGTAGTCTGGATTATCTGTATTTAACCAGGGATTTCTCCTTCAGTCATGAGAACTGGAGTGTCCCAGTCTCTGAGAAAGTCAAAACGTATGAAGGGACCAGCAAATGAAATTAAGGCATTTCCTAAGTGCCCATATGACTGTCTCCTTAGCTGATAATTCTAAACCTGTTAAACTTTTCTAGAAATAGATTTTGGTCTCTATGATCCTCCTGTTGTGCAGAAATAGGCTTTGTAGGTCCACCTCCACATATGATTAGTGCTTCTTAAATTGACGAGTGATCAGCAAAAACTGACTAAAAATGACTACTCCTAGCATAACATATTCTGTGGAAGGATTTTGGTTTTGGATGGACAAATACTTCATTAAAAATCACTCGTGTACCCAATTATATAAATAACAGTACACATTGTACTGATGACTGGGAATGGTAGCTAATTGGTGCAAATTGACCTCCCAATTAACATTATCAGCTTTTACTTTCCTGAAAAGCTTCTTATCCATGCCAGTGTGCTCATTTTCTGTTTCAAACAGTTACTGCCAAACCTTTCCTGACAAGCACTGCCACAGCACACAGAGGTGCTGGCTTTCTCCTGTCCCAAATTCCCCCTAATCATGTGTGATCAGTAGCTACCAAGTGTTCTTCATCAGTTCACACAGGTGATCTTTAAAGTCTTCTGAAACAAAGTACCTGTCAATTAAGAACAATAATTTCATGCCCTTTTCCTCCAATATTTTATGTAAAACACTCTCAGGGTAAAATGCTGCTGAGGTTAAAAACAAACACCTCATGGTGGCTTACATAGTATGCTGCAAATAGTGAATATCTAGGGTCTCATTTCAGACTTCATAAGGGACAGGAAGAATTGTTTTTTCTCTCTGTGTCTTGTTCTACTCTTTGTGTAGCGAAAAAATGTTTTAAATCATTCAGCTCTTATTTCACGGTTATTTCTGTTGACCCTAATGAAGGTGGCAGGCATGACTTTGGCCCAAAAAATCCTACTTTTTGGTCCCACTGCCATTTTTCTTTCCCTGTTTTTGACTGTGAAGGATTAGTTGTCTGGCAGAAGATATCAGACACACGAAGTGATCCATCGTGTTTTTGTGGGAATGACAGCTGTGCTAATAGCTCTGTTGACTTCTGATGCTACAAGGGAGCCACATGAGTTGCTTTTATTCTCAGTGCTGAGACATCCTCCATGAGACTGCAACTATCACCACATAAAGCTGTATTTTAAGCCAAGGTGCTTACCTTGACCACTGGTGTAGTCAGATTCTTTCAAACTTCTGCAGAAACGAGTCATGGCTGCCATATTGTTTTTAATAAACATAAAATAAAGGATAAACCAACAGAGTTCTCTCTGGTCCTTTTCAGAACAGCCATGTCAAAAGTCCTCCTAGAAAAACTGGAATGGAAAGGTTGATGATGGCTTGAATTGATCCCAGTGTCTCAACCCTCAGGTGATCTGAAGTTTGGGAACGTGGTGTACCTAGAAATGTGTGTAGGGTAGAGGTGAGAGGGGGAAAATGGTAGGCACAGTGGTCTTGGGTTGGTTTAAGTTGTCAGGAAGAAGTACAGAAAGAAGAGAGAAGGAGAGAAAGAAAGAAATAACATTTCTTTATTTCACATTTCACTGAGCTTTAGATTTAATATAACACTTTGCAAGAACGGGGAGAGATGTGAGAACCAAAAAGATGATATCTTAGTTTTTAATCCCCTTTTGCTTGCACCCTGCAAAGAATTCCCAATGATGCTGCCCTTGCAGCTTTTTTACATGATCAATCATACTGATACTCATTTACTTTTATGTGGCTTAAGGGAATTTAAGATTCTTGCACAGCACCAATTAATAGTAACTGAGTTTGTGCTTGTGTAATCAAAATTTGTCTCTAAGATGACATTTATTTCTGTGAGGAAGGAGGATAAAGCTAAACTGGAGATTTTATGGGATACTGAGAACTGGGATTTCATGAAATGCCAATAATCCTGTGGCTGTTCTTTTCAGCTATAAGTTTTTAATGATAGAGTAATTTAATACTTAATAAAATCAGGGGAATCATGAAATCTGAGGAATAATAAAGCAGCAGTTTATTCCAGTAAAAAAGACTAGCACCCTGTTTGGGTTAATTTAACTTTAGCACTGCATACACTGCTGCAAACAGCAACTTACTGAAAGCAAAAACCTTCCCCCAGTTGCTGAGTAAAGCAAAGTCACAGTCTTGTACTTAATTTAAGCCAGATTAATTCAGTTCCTGGATCTGTGTGTCATGACATAACGAGGTCTTACCAAGCTGGACTTTTCTGAGGCTTCCCCCTCATAAATCTGCTTTATGAGAGAGAAGTTGTGATTTATAGTTGCTCTCAGATGCTTTAATTCACATTAGGTAAAGAGGCCATGAACAACACAGCCAAGAAAACTCAATTAGCCCATAGGCAAGTCAGCAAGATCAGTATTTGTTAGGAGAATGTGCTAAGTAAACACTGCTAATCTTTTAAACCTAATCATTGCACACTTCGTTCAAGAGAGAGATTTTTGTGCCTCAGAGTGTTGCTGCTGCTTATTGCCAAGGAACCTGCACTTTGCAATTATGGCTTTGAGAGGAACAACTAGCACTTTTATTTCATTAAGGAAAGGTAAGATACAGGTGAAATGTACCTAGCCAAAGTGTCTGGTGATATGGAAAGCCTATATTAGGGAAGAAATGTTATAGCTTACCTGAAGCGACCCAGTCTCATTTGCATCTCCCACGCTTTATCTGAATCTGTGCAGTCAATATACATTAGGGACAAATCAATGTGTAAGCAGTGCAGGCAGTGTTCTTACTGATACCACTCATTACATGAGGAATATTTTGTGTTGCCAGGTGCCAAAGACTGAAAAGACATCAGGAACATGTGATGTGTGGGGATCTTTTTAAAACAGAGTGAAGAAGAAAAAAAAATCTTATCTTCTTAGATTTTGTGTAATAAACTTTATATTAGTAAACAATAGTATGTACTATTAGTACAAAAAATACATTTAAAAAAATTCCTTTTATCTGTAATGCAAACCAAAAAACATACCCTGTTTATACTTGCAGAGAAATTACCTATTCATACCATGGTAATACATTATTTATATTTTACCTTGGAGGCTTATTTTTTTTAAAGGCAAGCAAAATAAAACACTAACTTTAAAGGGCAAGAATTTAATCACTAAGCCTAGATAAGAGTCCCTTGGCAATTTTACCAAGTCATAAAAATACCTAAGGTATTACCTAAGTAATTAATTTCCTTAATGGTTCTTTGTGGTATAATATAAATAAAAAATAAAACAAATGCCTGAAGTATTACTGGGCTAATCTGAGTGGTTCACCTAGAACTCCAAAATCTTGTGTATTTCATAAGAAAGGCTTATGTACCAGGCCTTGCTTCAAAGGGTCTTTATTGTATATGGGTAGGAGATGTTGTCAGATGAGAGCCTTTTTAAAAGCTTTACCATTTGTATATTTTTGCACAATGTTTCTTGTTTCTTCAAAAGCTGTGTATCAAAATCTGCATATTGCTAAAACCCTTTGTTTTCCTCAGTGAGAAGAGGGATGTCCCAGATTAATTTCCAAGCAGAAGATGATGGTAACTTCTCAGGGCTCCTCCCCTTGCTCAGCTTGAGGACATAGAACTGTTGGGATATTAATAAGCCCTGCAGGGATTCCATCATTTCAGCCGTAGCAGTTCCTGTGGGAGCTCTCTTCCTCCCATGGCTGGGGTTTGTTCAGTAGCCTGGGTAGTGACAAAGCTGTGACATGGCAGCTGCACACAAGGTCTCTTCAAGTCACCTGTGACTCACGGTGCAACCTGGCCACGCCATCCTTGAACTGGTCTACATAAAGACAGGTGGTGCAGAGTTACAAAGAGGAAATAAGTCCCTTCACCCACGTTTAAATACAGTTGTGTGCTTGTTTCTTTCTATACTAACATGGGTGTTTTAAAGATAAACTTCAACTGTCAGATCGATTTTATTCACACATTCTGATATAAGATACAGAAGTCATGCACTTCATTGTGAAATCTGTGCTGTGATGCTATGGGACTCACTGCAATCAACATGAGGTGATATCTTACAAATTCCTGTGCCAGTGTAACACATGCCTCAGCTGAGCTGAACAAAAGATCTATTTTTGATGTGTGATGCTACAAAGAGAACAGAACTTAAAGTGTTGAATTTTGGAAACCATTTGTATATTGTTACATTTATAATGAACTGGGACTCTGATTCAAACTTCGCATCTGTCTTAATAATGAGGAGCCTTTATAGAAATGCCATACTTGCAGTCTAGCAATGTTTGAAAGTTTATTCTATGGATAATTCTAATTGATTTTCCATTTCTACTATTATAACTGGTGTCTATCTAACGAGGGTGTAGATATGTAGAATACTTCTTAGTATTTCTTTTCAATTTGCATTCTTTTACAGTTGTATTATTGTAACAGAATATGAATTGAAAAGAAATACTAAGAAGTATTTTCAATTTCCATTTTGTTGCATTACAGTGTGACTTGCTACATTTTTCAGTGCAATAATTGGATATATTGCTGATACACATACACATAAATAAGGACAGTCAATCTGCTTTGAGCTCTGGCATGGCAGAATGACTTAACTACTGTTGTAGATCACTTTTCATTTTAACAGTTAAACTTAAGGCAGCAATAAAATAAAGATGAACATGCATTTGCATGACTGCCATGATTTAGAGAAGGTTTCTGAGCTCAGGTTGTAACAGCCAGCAAAGTTTTTCATTTTTTAAGGGTAGATGGTTGTTTAGAATATTTGTTATATTTTTAAAACTCATACTGGTTAATCAAGCCTGAAGCCACCCATAACAGAAGGCAGAAGAGAAGGAAGAAAGGTAGAACTTTTTCTGGAAAAGAAGTAAGATATTAGCAGTTTTTTAAAATTTGGCACTGTTTTCACTGGAGTTCTATTAGACTTTTGCTAGAGTCTGCCAGTATCACACAAGAAACAGTTGATTGGTATTAGATCATCTGCCCCTTTATGTTCAGTCCGTAGAGCACATGAATTTATCTGTTCAAAATAAGTCAAGGCTCGTGGTGGAGGGATTTATGGTCCCAGTTTGGAAAGGCCCAGAACAAATCCAGGGAGTTGCACAGATGAACACCATCCCATTCCCCTAGCAACGAGTGCACTGTGGGCACTCTTCAAACACTTTGATAAAATAGGTATAAAGCAATTTTCACATGAGAGAGAGTATCCTTATGGACACTCTGGCTTCCTTGCAGTAGTTCTTCAGCTTCTCTCATGGTATCAGAGCATTACGTGGAGAGATGTACTTGTTCAGTTATAGTGATAAGAGACACATTGGAACCCGTGTGACCTTCATGAAGGTCTCCCACTTATACTACTTTCCTATTCTCTGACACTTGCTAGGGGCCTCTAAAGGTCTGGTTTTATTCTCAAGTGTGGTTTTGTCCTGAAAAGGATGCAGTGTGGGGAGCCTCATGACCTTCACCTTCTTGTCTAGATCAAGCCAGAGAACATTTTGCTTCTCTTTCCTGTTACTTTCCCATGTATTCTGTAAATTATTAAGAGAATCAGACCTATCACTTTTGCCAGTTTCAACAGAAAGGAAATTACAACTGGAGAATAAATTGTTTCAAATGTATAAATTGACTTTCTATGCAGCCTTTTATTCTTCTTAAGGGAGGCAATCACTTATCTTGCCTAACCTTAAAACCTGCTTGGTCAGGAGTCTGCAGGTCTGGGAATCACCATGGGTCAAGGAGCTGGGAGGCAATCGAGGAATATAAATACTTTGTGGCATGATAAACAGCAAAACCATATTAAAACCCACAAGGAAAAGAAAAAAAAGACAATTTTCATTCATTCTATGCTGTCACTAAACCTACTGGAAACCTTATCGTTGTGGCTTGTCAGTGTAAGGACAGCTGCCAATGCTCTAGCCTGATATGTGTGTGTATAACTAAGTCTCTTGGCAGTGGCTGAAAAGTGTTTTTTGACGTCTTTCCCAGTTTTTGTGGTCTTGTTTGATGTGAACTTGAGGACCCGTTACACCTAAAGAAGTGAGGAGGCAACTACTTTTCTCCAGTAAATTTGACTGGGAGGGAATGTGTATGTGACCCACTGGCAGTGCACTTAGCAAAGCACATCTGCACCCAGTCAGTGATTGATTCCAGTGTGAAAAACTGCACAAGGATAGTGTTCATCCTTAAGGCAAGGGCATTGTTGGTCCATGAAAGTGTAAAGAGTTATTGCAAATACCTTGTAATTCATTTCCCACAAAAGACAGTAATGGCTCAAAGGAGCCCTTGCAGGCTATAAGGTAAATAAACTGAGTGTTAATAGCTCCCAGGTATGTCTGCTTAACACCACTCAGAGTGTATTTTTTAGGAAAGGTTCCATGTGGCTGTCACCATTTAGTAGCTCCTGATGGCTGGAAGAATATTTGCTCTGGAAGACCTTGGAATATGAACATGGAAGACTGCTGTGTGTGTGTTTTACTTTTTGTTTTAAAGGATATATTCTTTCCTTCAATTTAAGGTAATTTTAAGACCAAGGAAATAAAATATTATAGGGAAAGAAAATGCTTAAATTAGGGCAAATGAAAATGTTTTTAGAGACACAGCATATTTCAGGTTAAGATATGAGTGCATAATAATGGAGAAAGCATTTTAATGATCTGTTGATCAAATATTTAGAGTCCAAGGTTATGTACTTTTCAGTGTGTACAGGGGCAGAATTTGACCTACTCCTGTAAAATCTCCTTCCTCCTTATATAGCTGGTACAAGGGCATAGGGTCACAGCACTCCCTGGTTGCTTCCATTTAAGGCAGACAATTCCTAGAAAAGTGCTGTCATCTCTTCCTCAGCCTTTGTACCTGGATGATCCATTCTGCTGAGGAACTGTCATGATGACTGCACCTCACGGCCCTGTAAGGTTAACTGTGAAATTATCACAGAATTATTATCAGGTTTCTAATATACTTGTCAATGCTGATATAAGAGGTTGTTTATTTTCTTTTTTTGAAGAATTTACATTTATGCTTCAAACTGCCTTAATCTAAAATCCTGGCGTTTGATCGAGTGTTTTGCTGGTGCCATCAAGTGGCAAAATGTTGGATTGCAAAACTCTCACGGCACCCAAATTGACTCAAATACCTCTTGAACAGCACCAATGAGGAAAATAATCCCTGACAAGCCTCCTCCAAAAATACATATGAGAAATAAACATATATATATATATATATATATTTATATTATGTATATACTTATATAAATACATATATATGTATGTATATATATACACATACATGCATAAATATGTATGAGAAAAATAAACTGAAATACATATGGTGTCATGATTACTTCAGTTACCTCAGTTTGATCTGGATTCTAACAAGTAGAAAGGTTAATATTTTTGAATATTGCTATTTGATAAATATAGGCAACCTATAAAGCAAACTCAGAGATCCGCATTGAAGAGCTACTTGAACTGAAGTGGCACAATGCTGTATTCTGAATTTCCTTCCCAACTGTGTTTGCTGTCCTTTGTTACTAGCTAATCCCTTTTTACAGAATGTAAAAATATTGATTTCATAAAATATATTGATTTCATATCATTGCTGCATTTCATATAATCAGAGTAGAATGAATATTCAGTTTGCTGCTATATTCACTAACTTCATAATATGATCAACTGAAAATTTAAATTTACAATTCATCATTCATACACATATCACTTTTTTTGCCAGCTGAGCGACATCATAGTATTGTTCAATAGGAACGCCTCTGTGCAAAGAAAACACATAAATTTATAAAGCTTATGCTCTATTTCGTTATAAAAATCCAAATAAATTGGTATGGTTTTGTCTTGGTTTCTCAGGGGACTGCTAATGTCAAAATTCATAGATGCTGCCAGTGTGGAAATAATCCTGTGTTTCAAAATCTACGTCATGCACGGCTGGATTTTGAGAAGGGCTGAGCACCCATGCCTGACTTTAAAGTTCCTGAGAATGCTGAGCATTTCTCCCTGTGGAAGCCTGGCTCTTACAGTTCCTTACCACACACCCCTAACACTCAACAGGAGCATTGAGAATGTCTTAAATAGGTACAGGCTCCAAGTTTTTACCCTAAAACGAATTATTTCTACACTCTGGGGATCACTTTCAGCTCCTTCTGATGCCAAAGGGCTCACAGAATCCAGCCAAATTGCACAGGGCTTTTCACTGACAAGAATCTGAAAACGGCTCCACACCAAAAAACAAAACCAACAACAGAGAGCAAATGAGAGTATGAAAATGTTGGAAATGTAGGTGGAAAGATCAGCCATAATCAGTAAGATTTTCCTGGCATTAGAAAAAGCCTTGCAGTTTAATTAATTCTCACTGTGGATACTTCCTGAAGTCTTATTTACAAATTGTATTTTAAGCATATTTATTTAGGCTTCTTATACTTTCACCACTGAAATTTGTGCCAGTAGTATCAGAGGCACAAACACAAAAATACTTCATTTGAATCTTGCCCACTTCAGCTTTTTACTCTGTAATTATTTGCACTAGACTAAGCTTTTAATTAATATCTAGCCTGTATCTCTGGTACATTTTGAGATCAATGAAACTATTACTATTGAGATTACTGTAGCTCTGTTGCTTGCCTGTTTTCTGTGTTTTACAGAAACTTGGTATGGAGGAAAGGCTACTCTCCTTTGCCCCAGAGTAGCACCTTCAGGATCGTGGGTACCTGTGTATGCTTTGAACAACTGTCCTGCAGTAACATTTTACTGTGGGAGTTGTCCAGAACAAACAGCAAATGGGTGTCATTAACATAGCTTTATGAAGTGGCTTGCTAACCTATTCTCCCTTTCTGCACTGTTGCTGCTGCATTGGTTTTCTGAGATGGGACCTGTAGTTGCTCTGACTCATCAACTTTCTCATGAGGTACTATGCCTAAGTTGGCCAAAATCTCTCCTGGCTTGCAATGTGAGTGTAGGAATGCAGAGACATAGACTACATGCCACCTAGGCAATTTCTACCTTGTGGAAAAGGGGAGGTTTGTTTCTGGACTTCTTTTCTCCTCCAGAGTGGGGTTCACTTGGTTTAGTTAGGGGCTCTACAGTAGAGTGCCTGGACAACAAATAATCCAGGGGATTGCATATTCAAAAAAGACAAACACAAGAGCAATGAAAATTCTTATTTCAAGCTCATTACACATTCTTGCATGTGTCCTATCACTGTGGGATCACAGCACCTTGCCATAGTTCTGGTATGGAAGTCCCATAATTTAAAAAGCACAAGTGCTGGACTCTCTCCTGGGATGGGGTAACCCTGGTTACATGCACAGATGAGAGGCTGGAGTGCAGCCCTGGGGAAAGAGATCTTGGGTTTGGGTTGATGGCAAGCTGTAGATGAGTCAACAGTGTGCCCTGGCAGCCAAAAGGGCCACCTGTACCCTGAGGTGCATCCAGCCAAGTGAGGGAGTGACTGTCCCTCTTCTCTGCACTGGTGCAGCCCCACCTTGAGCACTCTGTGCTGGTTTGGGTGCCTTAATGTAAGAAGAATATTAAACTGTTAGAGTGTGTCCAGAGGAGGGGACCAAGAGGACAAAAGATCTCGAGGGCAAGACTTAGGAGTGGCTGAGGTAATTTGGTTTGCTCAGCTGGGAGAAGAGAAGGCTGAGAGGTGACCTCCACACAGTCTGCACCTTCCTCAAGGGAGGCAGTGGAGGGAGAGGTGCTGATCTCCCCTCTCTGGTCATCATAGATGATAGGATGTGAGAGAATGGCATGAGGGTCCATCAGGGAAAGTTCAGGATGGATATTTGGAAAAGGTTCACCACTGTGTGGGTGACCAGTCACTGGAACAGACACCCCAGGGGAGTGATCAAGGCACCAAGTCTGTCAGAGTTCAAGGAGCATCTGGACAATGCTCTTGGTCATGGTTTAGTGTTAGATAGTCCTGTGAGGAGCAGGGAGTTGGACTTGATGATCCATATGGGTCCCTTCCAGATTGAGATATTCTATGATTATTTCACATAAAGATTAGCTCATGATAACACAGAGGAGAACAAGGACAGGAAGGTAAGTTTCCAGTATTTGACTCATGTTTTGACTCTTTCACTTTCTAGTCTGCATCTTCTATTCCTGTTGTCCAGGAAAGGCTGCAGGACTGAAGGCTATCCTTGGACTTCTCTGAGTCAGTCCTAAGCAGCATGCTCTGCTTTCAAAGCTTTCCTATACGTCAGTAATGGTGATCTGAATCCTATATGAACAACAGAGATTTGGCATCATAATTTGCATATCTTTCAGTTAGTCCATCTTTTTTTTTGTCTTTTTTTCTTTTTCTTTTAAAGTTATGCTGTTATGAAGAAAAAGTAGTCTAGGAACTGGTTTCGGTGGAAGTGACACCAACCTCAGTATATTTTAAAGAACAAATTGGCTGTGGTTAGAGCCTAGGAAAAGGAGCCCTAATACCAAAAGCATTCCCCAACAGCTCCTCAGCTGTTGTCTAGACATACCTCTTCTTTTACAACAGCTTTTGGAAAAAGCTGAGCACTGATTTTTCATTTTTTTTGCCTATGTTATTTGTGGATGCTGTAAATTTGGCCAAAAGTGAAATCTTTAAGTTCAGGAAGGGTGTTTGGGACAACAGCCAACAGTAAATACTTATCAAATGATGGGCAAAAAATAAATATGGAAATTTGGTACTTCAAGTGTTTCCACAAAATACTGTGTAGAGATTTGTGAGTACCAATACATTTCCACATTAATATTTAATTGTGAAAAAAATAAGAGCTTAAAGTGGCTATGCAGATCTCAGTCTAAATTGGTGTCCAGCCATTTCGCTGCCTGGTGCTTCTCTTGGTGAAAGCACTTCACTTAAACATTTTGACTGTGAGAAGTAAAGCCTAGCCTATGTTGGCTGAGGGTCTTCTCCACTATCAGAAAGTGTACATCTATGAACAAATGTACATGGAGATCCTTTTCCCTTGCTTAGTTGTCCTCTGGCAATACACGTAGAGCAATCCCTCTGTGCTTCCTTTCTGCTCCTCAAGCTTGCAGCAATGAAGGACTTTCCTGAACACTTTATATCTGAAAGAAAAAAAAAACAAAACCAAAATTATGATAGAAACAACAGTGATGGTTACCTGAGGTCTTTTAAACAATGACAGCTTGGCTCTATTTTCATGACTCTGACTTACTCAGCTTATTACCAGAGCTTATGCTATTAGGATGAACTAGGGAAGTCAGTACAATAGCGATTGGCAATTGTTTGATGAAGGTTGGGTCAAGTCGATTATGTTTTGATCAGTGAGAGGAAGAAAGAAGGAGATAGATATGTGCAGCACGTGCATCTTGCAGTGTAATTGAGTGTCACCTGCCAGAACATTCATACCTGCACTCTGTACTACATAAGTAGCATATGGACAGCAAATATATGCAATAGCACAGATGGAAGCTTTAGCATCTAATTCCCACTGATTTTAGGATATATTATTTATGCCTTTGAAAACTTCCCTTCTCCATCTCTAGAGAGGGGTGAGAAATGTTATTGTTTACTAGCTGTAGCTCATACTAAAGGAAAGCTGTGTTAGGCACTCACATGGATGTGCTAGAGGCTGAGGATACTCTGTATGTTTCCATACATTGGTGTCATTTGAAATCAAGCAGTTTGATGTGTGTGATGAACAAAATAAGAATCTGATGTGCCATAGAGTATCAGAAAACTTTTCTGTTTCTCAGTTTCTGAAGGGCCTCAAGCATTCATTTACAAGTTCTATCTAAAATTCTGCCCCCAGTCTGAAAATAGTCAGGCAGATGCCAAGTCACCTATGATGTTTGTATTCATTAAGCCAACTCTCACTGGAAACATGAATAAATCGTTCCTGTTGACTGCTATCTATAGGCTACCAAGCTGCAGAACAACCACTTTACCTCAGACATAAAAGAGAAGCATTGCATACAAAGGTCTGATCATCAACTCAGTTCAGACAGGACTGTGTTAAACTTAGAATATTTACAAGTCTCTTTCTCCCGAAGAAGCATTTATAGCTGATGTTGATCCAGTGATATTTGAGATCTCAATGACACATTAAAAAATGTCTCAGGCCAGAGATTATAAAAAAGGGCTAAGGTGAATATTTTTTTAAAGTGTCTATTGTGAACAATCCTTAAGAGTCTCAGCACTGTAGACAATGATTTAATAGAGACTATTAGGATTTCTAACTTCCACGATAGTAGATTTATTCTGAATGCTGACAGACAGCTTCCACCTTTCTGGCTCTTCTGGGAAAAAAACCACACCACCAAAAAAATTAATGTTCTGGGATCGGAACATCAATTTGCTAATGCCTTCTTTATTATTAAAAAGTTGCATTTTTCCCTTCAGATTTGTTTTGTGTGTCATGTGGATCTTGAACCAGAGTGTAAGAACACAGTGTCTTAAATTATGAGCTTGTTAAGGCCTCCAGTAGTTGTTCTGATCAGTGCATGAAGCCAACATATCTGAGAGTGTGTGCTGCCAACAGCTTCCATCAGGTCTTGGAAGGAGAGTATTTATTCATACTGGCATTTTAATCCAGAGCTCCACTTTTGACATGAATCTCCCAATGGTCTCTGTTTTGCAGTACTTTAGTCTTGGGTACATGAACTGGGTTCCTTATGGATGAAATTATCTGAAAGCTGTGTTCCAGAAATAGACCAGGAGGGTTTCACAGCCACAAATAGACCCTTAATCCAAAGTAAAGAGCATATCTGAAATGTATTTTTCCTGCACCTCAGATCCTCAGTGCCCACTGTTTCACTCTACACATCTTCTCCTGTAGTCCACAATACATGCCAAGTGACATAGTGACTGAGAAACATACAGATTTGGAATTAATTGAATTTTTTTTGGAGTGGGATTTGAATTTGTTTTAATTAACTGAATAAATTTGGTTTTATTAACTGTTTCCCAATAAAACTATAAATAACTATACATATAATCTTGGATATCAACACTGAATCGGACTATCTGACAATAGGGCAAAATACATAGAATACCTTCTTTTTAAATATATACAATCTAGCATTATTCAAATATATGTACATGCTTCTGATTATTCAGGGGCACTGTCTAGCTGTGCAAATATTGGTAACAAATGCTCCAAGAAAACAATGTAATAAAATTAATGGACGAATTATTTTTAAAAGCTGAGAATAACCGTTCTGTTTAATTATTTATTTATGTATTTGTATTTATGTGACTAGGAAAAGATAGTAACATTTTAAAAACATATGATATTGTAAAACATGCAGCCATCTTATATTCAGGTATGGATTGGTGAGTTCCTGTGTGTGTTTACAGTAGCAGAAAGATGTAGCTTATTACCTGTGTTACAATACAGATTTTCATGGTCACAGACAAAAGAATGTTACAACCTTGCTATGGGTATTTAATGTTTGTGTTTCAGAGTTGGGCCTAATATAGTTACCATCTGAAAGGTGCTTTGCTGTTGCATTGCCTAATTTTTCCTTTTTCTGGATATCCTGTTTAGTTAACATGATTCTTTCCTGGATATTCATTAAAATTTAGATCAGGTCTATAATTCAGCAGACTTCCAAGCCTATTAATAGTTAAAAGAGTGCAGATGGAAACACACCAAATTCCTGCAATGCAAGGAATACCACAAAAACGTGCCTCAGGGCAAAGATGTAAGTGGGAGGCATCAAGACACAGTTTGACAAGCGCGATAATCCAATAATATCAAAGTATTCTGACTGGAATTCAGATGTTGGATAGGAGACATTACAAATAATGAAAGAATTTATCAATAGTAGTAAACCAGAAGGCTGCCAGAAAGATGGAAACTAAGATCTGATTATGCTAACATTAGAGATAAAATCTCATATGAAAGAACACTGGAGGACTTGAGGCTCACTCTGGAATCTGTTATGTATGGAAAAAATACAAATTTAGATTTAAAAAAAAAATGTCATGAGTGCTAAGCAGCATGGAAGTTCATCTTTCCAGACCTTTTAAAAATTTCAGGAATTCTACCATATCCTGTCCTTCAGCTAATAGTATAATTGAGCCTGTAAAAATACAGTAAAAACACATTGATTCCTGAAACTTTTTGATTACATACTGATGATTACGAAAACTAAATGCAAGCTTCCTTTAATTTTAAATTTTAATTTAAAAGTTTATTTCAGTAATTATAGCTCAAACTTTAATCTAGGAAAAAAAAGTTTAAAACAGGAGTAGATACCATGATAAATACTGGTGATTGATTTGTGAAATGTGCTCATTTTTTTCCAAATTAGAAATGCAATATACTTGTTCATTTTATTATTTAAGAAAATTAATTCAGGAGATTTGAATGCTAAAGCCACAGTATAATTTATTTTAGCAGTCCTCCTCTCAGCTGTAATAAAAATATTTCCTGGGGAACTGACAGCCTATTGCACAAAGTAGAAGATATTCGGTTTCATTAAAGCAAAAAGAAAAAATGTGTGTCCTGCCAGAAAAACATAACCATGAGAAAATGCTTTCAGTAACAGTAAATTGATATCAAATGCTTCTAATGGAATCATTTTCCTTTGCAAGGTCTGTTCTTACCTGTCTTTTGAGGCAGTTGGACAAGCAAGGAATTTGAAATTGAGTTCGTACTACATTCAAATTGAAGGTTCTTGATAGGACTTCAGGTCCCTCATTTTCTTGGTAGTGTTGGGGCAGGTTATGCAGTAGCATCATGTTTTATATTGGAACTTTCAGGGGAAGATACAGGATAAAATACCAAATACCAGAGAATTTGTTACTGCATCTGGATACTCAGGAGAAGACAGATGAATTCTGCCTAATTCTGGCAAGTGTCAACAAGAAACCGTGGTTGCTTTTACTACTGCTACTGGTTATTTGTACCAGGTTAGAAAATAAAACAAACATAAAAAACCAAAATTAAAATAAGGAGATTAAAGAGGTGTGATACTGTTGCTTTGTTTTACTGATGAACAGAAGCTGGAAATCAGCTTTCAAGTAAGAGCAGAAAGCTTGGACTTGCACAGGAAAGGACTTACGCACAGAAAGTCTCACTTGGTCAATTCAGTTTCACTGTGAAGTTCCAGTCCCACTCTGAAAAGAATATTAAACTCATGCTACTTTTAATAGAAAATACGTTTTTTCCTTAATTGCCATGGTTTTTGTCTCTACATCTATGCTTAGGGGAAAGTCCTCAGTCCTCCTTTCACTTGAACAAATTTGTATTTCAATGCTGGTTGACCAGCTGTTTGTGAAGAGAGGGGCTGTATTATGTCAGGATAAACCTCTGAGCTCTCCAGAACTTCATGTAGGCATTTATATCTAAACAGGTTGCCTCTGCTTTGAGCTGCTCTCTCGTGCAAGACAAAAGCACCAGGACTTTTGCTTTCTATCAGATGAAGCTTTGGTTTACAGTGACAAAGAGTCTTCTCAAAAAACCACCATCAACTTATTAGACGATGTGTCTAATAAGCACTACTAGAAGAAGCACTGCTGCTTTCTTTCCATCCACCAAGAGTCAGCAGAGCTCTTGTATCTGTGCCTCCTTCTTCTGGGACAATCCTGAGGAAGCCCTCAAGAACCTGTTTGCTCCACGACAAGCACAGTGTGTAATGATGGCTAGGTAAGGTCACAAAGGGAAGCACTGAATTCACCCTGCTTTCCACACACTGTGACAAGACTCCTTTTGACTAAAAACCATTGGCTCACCACATGAAGAAGGCTGAGATGTTTTTTTTACCTCCTTACATTTTGAGTTGCACTTTTAAGACTTCTGTGTTGCCCTGCACTTAATGATCTGCTAGCTTTTGGATATGGACCTTACAATGGGAAGAAGTGTCTCAAGGAGAAAGGAGCAATTTGTATTCATCTGACTGGTACATGTTTGTTATCCTGACTTTGGCAAAGCTTTGACAAAAAGGATATTTTAAACAAGTCCTCTTCTTCTCTGGCATATGTTAGTAAAATGCAAAAGATTTTGCTTTGCCTTATTAAAATAGGGAACTAATTTGAAAATATTTGAAATATGTTATTCTTCCAGGATGTCTGCAAGTTTTTGAAGCCATATGTTTTTGAAGAAAAGAAGTTGATATAGCATATTCAAGTGAAACTAATGAAAGCTAAATTAATTCTATCATGCTGGCAGTTTACAGAGTATTGGGTAGGTCTGCTATGGTATCTATATGAACAATATGGGAATCTTACACTGATGACTCAGATTCAAGTGCAACTGGCTTGCAATGAGAAAAATGTTCTGAGTTGTTGATCCATAATCTGCAAGTGAGCAAGAAACAGAAATCAGACTTTGCTTCCAGCAGACCTGCTGTGGTTCTATAATGCAATGCAGTTCTGAGTCCACATTGTTCAGACCCCTAATGGAATTTCCTTTCTATCCAGTTTTATTAGCTTTCTCAGAAATTTATTTCTGGCTCCCAGAATTACAGATGGAACCTGTGACTGGTAGATTTTTTGCCCCTGCCTGTTGCACATATCGCGAGGTTCTCTTTGCAGCTCCATGCCAGCAGCTGCCACTGAGTCAGGGATCTATGCCATCAATTTTAATTCATCAGTTTTCTAGCATTCAAGCATCATCCATAGAACCAGATCATTACTTGACTGCACTCAGCTTCGAATCTACAGTGTACAGACTAAAATCCATCTACAGTCACCCAGCACCAGGACCACTGATTCAAAATAATCCACACTCCCTCATCAAAAGGATTCTGAACATATATGTCCCATGACCATGCAGCTGCACTAGTCCAAAACCACCATTCAAATTCTAAAACTTGCCTTCAGCTCCAGGAAATCAGTTCCTTGCACAGCACTTCCAGGTGGCTGGCTTGGGGACCTCAAGCTTGTAGTCATTGACACCTCTCTTTAGGAGCAGCAAGGGTCTGTTCCATGAGAGCAGTGCTCTCTGGACACAGTCCAGTGCATGCACAAGGGCCCACACTGTCTGTCCAGGTCTGTTCCCTGGCAAACTGGCCCAATTCCTTGGCAGAAGACTCCAAAGGGATTTTAGCTCACTGGCCAAAACCACCCACAAAGGAAATCAGTAGTTTCCAGGATGATATCTCTCCAAAGCAGGTGCCATCATCATACACATTTCAGCTCCAGAACTTTCAGAAATCCATAGTGAAGAGAATGAATTATCTCACTGGGAGGCTTTGCTGAGGAAAAGCTCCCCGTGGGAGGAAGTAGGAAGGTATAGGAAAATGATACATAATTATTTTGAGAAATGATACCTAAGTAAAAATTGATTTCTAAATGTAACAAATGTGCTTACAGAACCCTAAGGAAATATTATTCCAACACAGGAGACAATATTTGGAGATCAGCTCCTCTCTTCCCAGCCTTCATTGTCGGTCTCTTTGGAAGAAAAGTGTTAATAAGAAACTGTGTAGGGCTGAGCTCTCAACTAAGCTTTCCTTCTTATCCAGTGCACTGCACTGTGACTACACTGTGGTCTGTGTTCTGGTAGGATTTGACATCACAGCAAGAGGGTGTTGGGGATCTTCTGGAGCAGTACATAGGATGAGGCAGCTGGTGCTGTCAGCAGGTGTTTAGCTGTTGAATGGGGTCGAAGGATCTTAGAGCACACCTGGTACCTGGGATCCAAGACACACGTAGGTCATGTGCAGTTTTACCTCTCCTGAATAAAGCAGTAAATACAGCTACAAACCGAGACAGTTTGTTACAGAAAATTTGATTGGGAAGGATTTAGTGAAGTCATGTGGATGTTGGTTCAATCCTTGACAAACTGGCTGAGCCTAGGGGATTTCAAGTAAGGCAGGCAGCACAGCAGCAAGACTTCTGTGCCAATTTTTATTCCTATTCTTGGAGATACCAGTACTCTTTGCTAAGGTCTTGTGTGGGATGTTCACACCATCCTTCAAACCAGTTGGAGCTGGCCACCACTGGTGGAGTTTGGATTCTGGTTAGTTGGCTTGCTGGATGTTTTTGCCTTCATGTGTTTGGCAGACATGGTGATAGATTTTGATCAGTTTTACTTTCTTCTGCTGACCTTTTCTCTCAATGTGTTTTTTGTTTGGCTTGAATTGGTATCAAAAGAAATGGATGTATTTGAAAAGAGTGTTCTTTCTGTTGTTTATTTTTTTCACCAGTGAGAGCAGAACTAGCTGGAGGTCCTCCTTTTCTTGAAAAAGCAGTGTGAAAAAATCTGGGAGCACATCTTTTGGCAGGTGATAATACATAAATAGCTTTTCTGAATACCTATTAAATACATTATTGTATTATTAATAACCAGTCGAGCAAGTAATTGGTTTATTATGATTTTGAACCACTGATTTGTTTTTAACCTGGATGGCTTGGCCATCATATTAAAGTGAGCTAAGCTTTAATGTTTGTGCCATGTGCAAGTGATACAGCTGTACCAGTGATTTCCAGAGTTCACAAGTTTAATATATTCTGAAAAAAAATCATTTCATTATGTCTTTTTCATGCTCCATCTTACTCTAGAGCTGAATGTTTGGAAAGGCTCAGCAGAATATTTTCCTTCATTTCATTAATTACTCAACTGTTGAAAAATGTCTGTTATTTCCTTCCAAAAATATACTGTGGAAGAATTAGAGTTGTGGTTTTAAGATACAATGGGAATGAGCTACCTCAGCTGTTATTATAGAGGGTGTGCTGACTGGAAGAAAAAGGCTTAGGACATCAGTTCTGCACTCCAAATCTTCACACAAAAAGGTTATCCCCCACATGTAAATCTATCACTACCTAAGTTGTGTGTTTCACTGCCACCTGTATCTCCACATTACTGAATTTATTTGGAAAAAAACTGATTGGGAGGAAGAAGGTCCTTGATACATCTCTGTATAGCTCCCTTACCAGGCTGCAGTGGATATCCTGTGCTGATGGAGCAATGGTGTCAGGGAAAGATGGATATCACAAAATTACAGAATGCTTGAGGTGGGAGGGAACTGCTGATGGTCACCAAGTGCACCCCCTACTCAGGCAAGGCCACCTAAAGCAGGCTACCTATGACCGTGTTTCCAAGGAGGGAGACTTTACACTCTCTCTGGGCTCAGTCACCCTCACAGTCTAAAGTGCTTTCTTATGTGCAGATGGACCATCCTGTGTTTCAGCTGGTGCCCATCACCTCTGGTCTTCTCACTGGGCACGAATGAAAAGAGACTGGTTCCATTTTCTTTTCCAGGCTCCCTTCAGGTGTTTGTACATATTGATGAGATTCTCCTTGAGGCTTTTCTTCTCCAGGCTGCACAGCCTTCCATCAAATGAGAAATGTTCTAGACCTTTCATTAGCTTAGTGGCCTTTCACTGGACTTGCTCCAGCAGCTCCATCTCCTTTGTTCTGGGGAGTCCTGAACTGAACACAATTCTCCAGATGTGGTCCCAGCAGTGCTGAGTAGAGCAGAAGGACCACTTCCCTCAAACTGCTGTCCACTCCTCCTCATGCAGTCCTGGATATTGTTTGCCTTCCTTCTAGTAAAGGCAATCTGTTGGCCCCTGTCCAACTTGGTGTCCACCAGCATGTCCAGTCCTTCCTGCTTTCCAGCTGGTCTGCTGCAGCACATGCTCGTCCTCCTTGCAGCATGGGGCTGTTCCTCCCTGCATGCAAGATTTTCCATTTAGCTTTGTTGAACTGCATGAGTTGTTGAATTGCATGTCAGTCCATTTCTCCAGCCTGTTCAGATCCCTTTGGTTGGCATCATGACCCTTACAACTTTCTATCATCAGCTAACTTGCTGAGGATACACTCTGCCCCATCACCCAGATAATTATGACAACACTGAGCAGGTCTGTCCCCAGTATTGATTCCTGGGGTACATTGCTCATTGTTGGCCTCCAATTAGACTTTGTAGCTCCAATCATCCCTCTGGGCCCAGCAATTCAGCCAGTTTTCATTTGCATTGAGGCCATAATTCAACATCTATGTGTGGATCTATGGGGAACAGTGTCAAAAGCATGACTTAAGTCAAGGTAGACAGTGTCCATTGCCTGACCATGGCTGTCATTTCATTGTAGAAGACCATTAGGTTGATGATACTTTTACTTTCCCTTGGTGAGTCCATGCTCCTTATCATCTTGTCCTTTGAGTGGACACCACCTGGAAGTGGTTTCCAGGATGAGTGGCTCTGTACCTTCTTCGGGCTGGAAATGAGTTGGACCGCCTGTCGTTCCGTGGCTCCTTCTTCCTGCCCTTTTCAAAGATACAAATAGCATTTGCTTTCTTCCAGTCCTCAGACATGTCACCATGTTACCATGATTGTTCAAGGTTTAGAGTGGCCTCAAGACACCAGCCAGCTCCTTCAGCATGCTCCCCAGCAGGGCCCATAGACTCGTGTGTTTTAAAGGCTTTTCAAAGACTGCTAAGTAAAACACACTTGTGCTTTTGGCCCCATCTTGTGTCATGAAGAATACAGAGAATAAACTTGTCAGAACCAGTTCTGTGTCTAAAATGCTGTGAAGGTCAGAAGTCAAAAGCAGGAATGAGTTGGTATTAAGAAATATGATTATTCAAGAATTCTTCCCAAGGTATTCAGGAAACCTAAGAAAAGGTGATTTCAACCCAGTCCTAAAAATGACAATTACAAGCCTGACAACTTTACTACTCCAGTTATCTACCTAAGCATAGTAAAAGTGTCCTGCAGTGAGTTCTCCTTGTAATTGTAATTCTCCATTTCTATCTCTTTATGGTTTTTCTTGAGAGCTTGCTTTCCTCTCTTACTCCACTGCCCTGCTGATTGCTTGTTCCTATAATCCCCGACTCAAGGCCTGTCCAAGGTTGTTCCCATGCTCTTGCAGTTATATGGAAGGTGGGATAAAGAAAACTATCCCTTTTGCTGAGGCAAAGAGAGAAAGGAGCTTTACAACAAGGAACTGAAAGCATAATCCACCTTCCTAAGCAAAATATTCTGCTCCCAGGGAATAAAAATCACTTGATAGCTCTCATAGACAAGTTAAATACTAATTTGTGTTTAGCTGTGGTACATATATGGTCTCAGGGCAGGATCTTATAACCTTCCCCTTGACTAATGCAGAAAAGATGAAGACTTGCTGAGGTAAGCCAATAGCGCCTCCATGCTGAAACTCAGTATGCTTCAGATGATGAAATGGGACAGAACCAGTGGAAACCAAAAACTGGAACATCGTTTCTAAGTGAAGAAAGCTACATTACCTACATAGTAGTGGGTCAAGAAAAGGTGAAGCCAGTGCAGCTGAATAGGGTGAAAAGTAATTTATTTAATTCTTTTTGTTTTCCCCCATAATTTTGGTGGAAAAAAATAGAGAGATGTGAGCATTGCATTGAATAAGACAGAGACATCATTCTCTGGAATTCTCACTGATTTTGATGGCCACAATATTGTGAGGGCAACAGATGCATTCGTATCCGAAAAGAGCCAAAGCAAGCTGTTAATTGAAGTGAGAAGTGATACATATTCTTATCCTTAAGCTGATATTAAAAGGCAAAAGTTAGAAAGCATTGATAAACAGGTTAATACAAACTGCAACAAATCCTCTCTTCAGGCTTTATGTCAAATGTCACTGTAATTTCTTTTTTAAGAATTTATTTGTTCTAGGAATGATTATTAAAAGACAGAAAGTTGAGATGACCAGACTTGTTAAGATTTCAATTTCATGAGATAGATTTTGTAAAGCTAATGCTGTAGTTTCCATTTTCCTAACTCCTCCAGGAGTTTGTCATACTAATTTACATCCCAGGTTCTCTAAGGGAATACACAATTCTCCCCAAAATCAGGCTTTACAAGGAATGTTATTTCTGCCCTCTCGTGGCCACGGACCATTTTGCAGTCTCACATCGACGAGAATTCCAGACTTGAATCGCGTTTCAGTAATTGCAAATTGCTTTTCTTTAGAGAACAGACATAAGTTTTGTATCTCGGAGTCAGTTTTCCTGTATAATATGTATATCTCTCATTTGACTGGTTGATTGTTTAAATTATCAAGTTATTTACATAAAATTCTTTTAGTTTATGTCATAGCCCAGATTATGAAGCCATGACTTGCATGTTACAAGAAGCAGTTAAACAGTTTTATTTTCTAACAACTGACGTTATTTTAGTTTTAGGGCCTGTGCCCCACTTTTGGTCTGTTCGCATGAAAAATGTTCTAAAATTGCATGCAGCAGCTTCTTCACAACCTCGGTGAATCTTTAACTTATTTATAAATTAAATTGCACTCAGTTTCCATGCCTTATCAATCAATCAATCAATCAATCAATCAATCAATCAATCAATCCACTGATTCTATTGGAGTTACTTTAAATTTATCCCAGACTGTTGGCAGGATCAGACTACAAGGTCAATTTACATTTTAGAAAGATCCTATACAGTGTCAGGGTGACCATGTATGAATAGTGCTGTCCACTACAGGCTCACAGAGGATTGAATTGTTTCAGTAAAGGCTGCTGCTGCACATTTTCTGGTGGTCAAGTATCCAGAGACAGAGTAGGTAAATATGCATGCACAGTGATTTCTCTTGTACTTATTAGCTGGTGAGGGTTTGAATCAGAAATTTTGCAGCACACATGTAAGAGCATATAATGCAATAGTGATTTAAGACAAAAGTGTTACCTAAAACAAGAACAGATTATTCACTGTCAAATAATACTAACAAATGAGAATATTTTTCTGTTACATGTTGGAAAATGGGGAAACAACCCCATGACTTTATACATTACCTGCAAACTTTTTCCTATGAGCTCCTTTTCAGTCAGCCCAAGTTAGTGTATCCTCATCTTGATAATTTCTGGGGTAACTAAGAAAATCACTACTGCACATGGTGTGCTAGTGCCAAACTCTGCACTGTCTGCGCTTAGCAGCAGAAGGAAATAAGACCTAGAAAGAATTTATCACTAGTCACACATCTGAGACGAGGGTGGGTTCTGAAATCCTCCAGGCCCCCCTGGATTCATAAAATTGTATGCAGTATAAATACGTGCAAGAACATATTTGGTAGGAAATGTCTTGAAATGAAGAACTTCCAGAAACATGCAGAGGTGGCTGAGCAGACACAGGAAGAATCTTCTGAAATCTGTCTGCTCTTTTCCCCTCCCCTGCTCTTTCCACAGACTGACACATCAAGAGCAATTCAGAATCACCTGGTTCACACCTCTTTCAAGATTCCATAAGCCATATGTGATCCCAGTATAACTGCACTATAGGCTTCTCTGGAGTACCTCTACTGGTATTTAATTTCTTCACAGGAATCTAAATTGAACTTCTGACTTTTCTTTCATAGCTTCCAAAAGAAATCAGCTGCTGAATTTGCCTGTACAATTTTGTTTGAAATGTATCTTGAGGGACAGGCAAACCTGCACCTCTCAGAATTAATGATGGTCTCTAAAGGCAAGTAGGTACTTAGTCAAAATGGTAACTACACTCAAAGACAAGCTCAGCACCAAACATGTGCTTTTATGTTTTTCTTGAGCCACTCTCTTCAACAGCAGAGTTCAAAGAAAGTTTATCTCCATTCTTTTACAAATAAATTTCTCCATATTGGCCATAGAATAAATTCCAAACACTTTTATTGCCCCAAGATCTGGATGTATTTTGAGTTAAGCAGCTAAGGGAAGGAGTTGATTTTTAAAAGCTCCCCTCTGTTCTCCCTCACTAATTCATCTGAATAGGAAGTGCTCCAGGTTTTGGAGCAGAGATCCCCCTGCACCCTGCAGACCCAGATGAGGCAGGCTGTCCCCCTACATCCCATGGAAGAACCCATGCCAGCCAGAAAGAGGCTGTGACCCATGTAGGAAGCCTGTGCTGGACCTGTGACCCTGCAGGGGACCCACACTGGACAGTCTGTTCCTGAGGGACAGCACCCCATGGAAAAGACTCATAGTGGAGGAGCCCATGTAGGAGTGTCTCCAAGAAGAGGGACCCCATGTTCTAGCAGAGAAATGGTGTGAGGAGTCCTCTCCCTGAGGAGGAAGGAATGGCAGAAACATCACTTGATTAACTGACCCCAACCCCCAATCCCCATTCCCTGCACTGCAGCGGTGGAGGAGGTAGAGGCAGAGAATTTGGGAGTGATCTTCCTTATCTTCCCTCATGAGACATTTGTTATGCTTTTTTCTTAATTGTCCAGCTGAAGATGGAAGTGATATGGTGGTTTTGGTCGGCTCCTTGTGTGCACCCTGGATCAGCTCACCACAAGCATCTCCACAAACTATAAATCTGTTTTCAACTAATAACTTTGATATAAAGCTCCTCAGAGACATAGGATGTACTTTGAACCTCAGTGATGCAAACTAATTTAATGTTTTCTTTCATGTGAGGTGGAGTGGCTTTAGGAACTAAAGGTCAAAACCCAAGCAAAGTTTTGGTTTACAGTATTCCTAATAGCCTCTGGTTTTGAACCACTTTTTCTCTATTACTTGTTACCTGTCTATGCACAAATGTGGTATTTGCAGACAGCTACATGGCTCTCTGTGCCCTACAACACTCACATTGCATTGTTGCATGTCTGTGCAGCTACAGTATGCAGCATGTGAAGTTTAGCTCCAGTTTCTATTATTTAGACATTTCTTTCAGTGTGGCTGAGGTATCAAATACATTTGAGGAGAAAGGAGATGATGTGATCCAACCTCCTGTTGAAAGCGTAGCCTAAAATAATTATCTGCTGAGGTATTGCTGTGTGAGACAAAGCAGTACTTGGAAGCCTCTGAAAATTTGGGATGTAGCAAAATGAATTTCCCTGTGCAAGGTTTTTCTGACCTATGTCTGTCTTAATCACCTGACTCCTTTTTTAAGGCCTGCAAACAGTGGAAATACCCTTCTGTTTTGCATTTCACTTTATGCACTATCATCATGTTGAAGGATGGTAAAAAAAGGATGGAATGAACTTGAATAGCATGTCATAAGTTTTGGGTTTAGAAATCTGTCATAACTATATACTTTTTTTCAATATTTTAAGTACAATGGTAGCCTACAGAGGTATCTGAGTTTTCTGAAAGCCAGTCTAGAATGTTTCTTCTACCAGTTAACTCTAGGGATTTAAGTGGATAATTTGTATGACAACTGTAAGAGAAACACATTTTTTGCTGTTTTTTACTACAATTTTAATTGGATACAGTTCTGAGTAAGGCCATAGGACTGACCTTCTGGCTAATCACTGCATAGGATACATTGTGCACAGATATGAAGAGATGAAAAATGTATTTTTCCCTATCCATTTTTCATGAGCTAAAATACACATAAAAGATACTGTAAGCCTCTCTTTTCTTTC